CTTTGAAGGAAGCAGAATACTGTTTCCTCTTTAGTGGCATTAACAGAATGATGAATCAGTGGGACAATTCATACCACTGGCAGAAATCAGGCAGCGCATGTCAAAGTCCTCTGTTGTGGCTTCTGAATGGGCTGGGTTGCTTGTGCAACCTGGTCCATGACCAAAAGATACCACTTGACCAGTGGTATAGACATATGCAAGGGTGTGATAACTGCAAGAAAGAATACAAGACAACAAAGACCAAGGTTCTCATGGTTTTTGAGAAGGATAGTGTTTTCTAATACAAAACAATAGAACTACCTTTACTAAGTACCTAGATTCCTTATCACAACATCAGTGTTAGAGGGCACCAGATGATGTAGCTAAACAGATGGTGAGTATTAATTTATTCCAACATTAAAGATAAAATGTTATTGATAACTCTTTACTATGGTTTCTATCATTTGTGCTTTAAATCAAATACTTGTATTTTTGTTTTCTTAATGCACTGGGTTAGATAATTAAATACTCAAAAATGTCCTCATAATTATGTTATGCAAAAGTCTGAATACATATGCAAATATTCATTAAATTCTACAAGCATGAGACTGATTTTGTCTTAACAACTCAAGCATACAAGCACCACAATTTTGTTATCAAGCAGCCCACCACCCCCGGTTTCTAGTAAGGTGTTCTATTAGAAGCAGACTTCTAATAATTTCTTATTAAATAAGTTAAATGTCTAAGAAAAAAGTTGGTAAGTTAAACTATTTGAAAAAAGGTAAATTTTCAGGATAAAATGCTCTATAAAAAAAAAACAGTCAAACCAGTGGCACACATCTATAACTCTGGCAACTAGGAAGGCTGAGGGAGAAGGATCATAAATTCTAGCCCACCTTGGGCAATTTAGCAAAACACTTGCTTGAGATAAAAAGAGCTAGGCATATAGCTCAGTGGTAGATCACTCCTGAGATCAATCCCTAGTACCAGGAAGGGGGAAAGTTTGGGGAAAGCAGTCCCATATTTTAGAATTTCACAGTTTGATACTATTCTATAATCCCAGCAACTCAGAAGGCTGAGATAGGATGATGACAAGCTCAAGGCCAGCCTCAGCAAGTTAGTAAGGCCCTAAGCAGTTTAGCAAGATCCTGTCTCAAAATTAAAAATAATAAAAAAAAAAGCGTTGGGGGTGTGGCTCAGTGGTTAAGCACCCTTGGTTTCAATCCATAGTGCATGCCCCCCACCCCCGAAAAAAAAGATTTTATGAGTTGTTTTTAAGGAATAAAACATTACATTTTTCATCCATGCTTAAAATAAAACCAGCCTATTACCTTCCACAATCTATCTGTGAAACTAAGCCGTTAATTCTTTTCACAAGTTGTGGGCCTCTTGACTTGGCAGTGGTACTGTGTCCTAGTTGTCCACGGCTGTTGTCTCCAAATGTAAATACCCGCCCAG